TAGGGTTCAGGGTCCTAGTTCCGCAGAATCTGCCCTCAACCCTAAAAGCAGGTCCAAGGGCCGATCGCTCGTAACCACGCTTTGCCTGTGCCCAGTGGTTTGCTGTATTATGACGACTCTTTTGGGATTTCCCTGGGAGTGGGTCAAAATGCTCGACTCTTCTTGGAACCCAAGCCTGCAAGTGCTTGTTTTGAGAGCCCTTGTTGCGACCAGAAATTGAGAAGTGTCCATCATGTGGGTGTAGGACTTAAGGCTGAGGAACTATACTTTGTGGTGCTTTACTGTAACTTTACATCTTTAGCCTTTTTGGGTTTATTGGGTTTCTTAAGAAGGCAGCTAAACATTAAATTTATAGCTATCCTGCCAAGAGCAGCCAAGTATAGAAGCCCTGCAAACCAGGAGGTCTTGAGCTCTCGAAGCTGGGTGAAAGATTTAGTCTCTAGTGTTGCATGATCCTTACCACCTTGAGACCCTATGTATATATATATACAGATTATGCACATATAGACATTCAAATTTGTAAATGTATAGTTTATTTATTTCGTATTATTGTTCTTCTTGTTATTCTTACATATATATATATATACACATGGATATATATATATATATATGGTATATGCGCATATATTTATGTATACATATATATATATATATATTCACATGTTTTTGGCCTCTTACATGGACCTTAGGGGTCTAGAAATCTCGGCACTGAAGCCAATTGAAACCCAGGTCCTTCGCTCCGTGGAGACCGCGGCTCACTGGCGTCAGGTCCTCAAACTGCACGATGTTTCTGGGCATGAAAGAGTTAGGGTTTAGGGGTTTAGGGGTTTAGGGGTTTAGGGTTTAGGGGTTTAGGGGTTTAGGGGTTTAGGGGTTTAGGGGTTAGGGTTTCGGGTTTAGGGTTTAGGGTTTAGGGGGACTATGTTGGGATTCTGGTGTCGGGGTCTGCCTTCAGAACCGAAGGTCATGCCGGGATCAGGGAGCGCGGACTTGGTATTTAGGGTGGGTGGGAATTAGCAAAGGTTTCCCATGATGCCTGCAATTTTCGACGTGCTTCCGGAACTCCGAAGGCGTAGTGCGTGTAGCATGGACATGCCCGTGCGTAACCACTCCTTCCCGCGACAGATGCCTGCGTGTACCTGACTGCCCACAGTCCTGAAGTTGTTCAAGTCCAACGTTTCAACCCTGCAACCTCAATGAGGTAATCAACCCGCAAGCCCCAGATCCTACGAAGACCCTCTAGACCTACTTCATACACGTGCAGTAAGCCCCAACCACAGTACCTACCTGCGTTTTATCACGGGCGCTTTGGTTATCTCTTCTTTGCTGAATGGTGAAGCCCAAGCATGCGGCATAAAGCTGGCAGTATTACCAGGATGGGCTATTCTACCCTATAGCACCCTTAAAAAGGCCCTTTATAGGGTTGATTATGGGGATGCCGAATAGCCCATCCGGGTATTTACCATTTCATCCCACATTGTTGCCTTGGGGGCCAGAAGATGCCTGCTGGAATGCCACGGAGACTAAGACGCCCAGCAGGTTCCAATTCTCGCTTTAGGAGGGCTCCTTAAAAAACCCCAAGCCTTAGAAATGCTGAAACTCTTCGGTTACTGAAGCTGCGAAAGCAAAGTGAGAAGAAGTGGAATTCTCAATCAGCAGCGTGGGCGGCAAGAGCCCAAACGAGCCTTAAACCCTGAGCTGGACTTGGCATTTGCGGGACCCCGAAAACCCACAAAGGATCCCCAAACAAAGGGGTTTAGGGTTTGGGGTCTCTTGTGGGTACATCCCTGAACCCCCCAACGACCTTGAATAAAGGGGGTTTATATTCCCTACTCTTGTGGTTAAAGGGTAGTCGGGGGCTGCTGGTCTGGAGTTCGCACCAAACGCCCAGGAGTTGGGCGCAAGTGGGGTCTACAGCCAAGACATGAGCAACGGTCACGCCATCGCCGCAGGGCAGCGCCGAAGTGACCCGGTGTAGGATTTAGGGTTTAGGGTTTAGAGCTTAGTTTAGGGTTCAGGGTTCAGGGTTCAGGGTTTAGGGTTTAGGGTTTAGGGTTTAGGGTTTAGGGTCTATGGTTTAGGGTTTAGGGTTTGGGGTTTGGGGTTTAGGATTCAGGGAGTCTGAGGGGGTTCAATCGGGATGTGGCCGTCTCAAGTTTTGCTTGTATGTAGCTTGGGGAAATCTTGGGGGTCCTTGGCATCAAGTACTCAGGGCGCAGGTTTTAGGGGTCAGTAGGGTTCTGTGATGCCCAGTGGCGCTGTTCACCTTTTTGTTCGGGCTTACGGTTACTAGTTCAGGGTTGGGTTATAACGGGCTTCTTATGAATACCTGAACCCCCCAACTACCCTTTAATGAAGGGGGTTTATATACCCTACTCTTATGGTTAAAGGGTAGTTGGGGGGTGCTGGTAGTTTTACACGAAATATGCAACTCTTCCGCGCGCAGGATCTCTCGCCTTGTCTCCCTCGCATCCTCTCCCTTGGCACGTTCTCCTTGTGCATGTCTCTTCTGATCTGTAACCTCATCACCATCATGATTGTGCTTTATCTCTTCCTTCTTCCCGGAGTCTTGAAATGAGTCATGGGCCTGTCACAGCAGGTCGCAATTCCTGCTAGCAGCAATATGATTTCGCGGCGCCGGGCATCAGGTATTCCGCAGAGGAGCTTGCCAAGTCTTACACGTCCCCCCCGGCAGCACGTCTTACTATCGAAGTTGCACAATTGCTCCTAGTGCCTTAGGCTCAACCTCTCTCTGGCCCCGCGGCCTTGCGTGGTCCGGCAAAACCCTAAACGCTAAACCCTATACCCTAAACCCTAAACCCTAAACCCTATACCCTAAACCATAAACCCTAAACCCTAAACCCGAATCTGGTTTCTCCAAGTAGGAAGCCGATAGCGCCTAGGTGAGTGGCGATGTGTGCTGCAGATCTTTCAGCAGGGGCTTCCTGGAAGCAAGTATGGTCAATTCTCTTTCTGGACCTTTAAACCCTAAACCCTAAACCCTAAACCCTAAACCCTAAACCCTAAACCCTAAACCCTAAACCCTAAACCCCCCGTATCCCCCCACCACGCTGCCCCTTGGTGTACCAATCTCTTTCTGCACTGCGCTCATGCGTACCTTGATGTTTTGCGAGGGGCGGCAGGGAGCGGGGCGCTCTGGGTTTGCGGACAAGTTGTTTGGTTGAGCGGGAGGTATTGCACCAAATCTCGAAAGCCCCTGTGTGCATGGCCAATTCATTGCTAATCGCTCTTTTCAGGTTGACGATGGCATTAGAATAAGGCCTCTTTCAGGTTGCAATCCTCAACCCTGAACTATCCATGAGACCCAAAAAAAACGTAGGCAATTGAGCCCTGAACCCTAAAGCCTGAAATGCTGTAACCAAACCCTGAATAGCCGAATATGCCAAACCCAAATAGCCCAATACCCCCCCCCCCCCCCCTCAAAAAAAACAAAACATCCAAGCAACTGGTCCACCCGACCTTACGAAGCATCGTTTGTTAGGTAGCCCTCAGGGTCTTCGAGCTATTGAGGTTGAGTCCCAAGAAGCCTCTTTATGGCTTGGGAATGGGAAGCCGCGAAGTCCTAAACCCAATAGACCCCAGTGGTTCTACAAAGTCGACCTTGTGGCGTCAGCTTGGTGAGCGAAGGGAGGCAAGATCCCAAAAGCACATAGTCAGAGTATGTAGACGTATTTAGGTTTTCGGTCTTAGGGTGTAGAGAGTATAGGGCTTAGGGTGTAGGGCTTAGCAGCATCCACGAACATTTGCCGTCTTAAAGGGTCATGGGGTATAAGGGATTCTAGGGTATCAGGGTGTAAGGGGATATAGGGCGTAAGAGGATAGAGGGTAATAAGGGTCATAGGGTATAAGGGGTTATGGGGTATAAGGGGTTATAGGGTCCAAGGGGACAGAGGGTATAAGGGGTTATAGTGTACAAAGGGACAAAAAGGTCGAAGGGACAGGCCATCATGGGTTCTAGGGGATCAGGGGGATATAGGGTACAAGGTTTTCCATCCCGGAAGGTCACCGGAGCTCCGGTCCAAGACGCAGAACCTGGCCGTGGCAGCCTGCGAGGACACTCCACAGGGGACCTCTGACCCCCAAATGAGTACCACTGACGCCGTGATAACTAGAATAGGGTTTTGGGGGGTTACTATGGTATCATTACAAAGGGACCATAAGGGAATACGATTAGTGATTTTTCCGACCCCCAATTGGCGATTTCCCAACATAGGGTACCCCTTATAGTGTACCTCAAGAGAGTATCGTCCTTGCTTTTATGGGAAGCCCCAAAACCAGGTGCCCAACATTTTAGGTCACAATTTTATCTATGCGTGTCTCTCTCTCTCTCTCTCTCTCTTTTTATTTTTGTTATTGCTGTCTTTCTGAACTTCCTTCTTTCGTTCTTACTTGATTTCTTCTTTTGTTTCGTTAGTTTGTTCTTTCTTCCTTTCTGTCTTTCTTTCTGTCTTTCTTTCTGTCTCTCTCTCTCTCTCTCTCTTGCTCTCGCTCCCGCTCTCGCTCTGAGCTTCGGACTGATCAGGTGTAGCTTCGGGTTTTCGTGGGTCCTACCACCCCCCCACCCCCCTACTGTCAAAACTCAAAGCAAGCTACAACCGTGCTGGGAGGGAGGGGCTGGGGTTTGGGGTTTAGGGTTTAGGGTTTAGGGTTTAGGGTTTAGGGTTTAGGGTTTTAGGGAGTTTAGGGTTTAGGGTTGGGGGGGGGGGGGGGGGTCGGTGAATGGCCCCCATCCGCAGTCGACCGAAATCGAATGTGGATCTCTAAGTCTCAAACTCCGAGCCTTAAACGCTCCAAGCTTGGGATGTTCCCCCTTATACGAGCAGGCCTCAATAGAGATTATAATACGGGATACTAGAATCTCTATTAAGGACTGTTACTATAAGGGGGAACATCCCAACTTCAAGCCTTAGAGACCTTGCAATCGTTATTATCAGTATAAAGAGCCTCATCCCCCCCCTAAACTGTACCTGAAGGCTCTAAGGTAGTTCCTTTTTGGGTTAGCTGAAGGGGATTCTGGTATACTACCCCAAAAAGGTACTGCACAGGAGCCTTTGGGTAGAAAGCACAGGTTGGAGTCCAGCTTTGGAGATGTGCCAGCGTCGAAGCTCCGACCGCTACACCTAGAACTGTCTGTCAACAAGTTCCCAACGCCAGCAACCCCAAAATTGTCCCCCAAAATGCCCCAAAGCCCAGGGGTCAGGGGTTTAGGGTTTAGGGTTTAGGGTTTAGGGTTTAGGGTTTAGGGTTTAGGGTTTAGGGTTTAGGGTTTAGGGACAGAACCCCTAAAGCCAAGAGCCCCAACCCAATAGAAGACCAGACTGCAGGAAGGCAGCTGCTGGCAGCGTGCCTTGAAGATCCTCGAGGAAGCCGTGGCCGGAGACGTGCCGTTCAGCTGAGGTTTAGGGTTTAGGGTTTTGGGTTTTGGGTTTAGGGTTTAGGGCTCAGGGTGTAGTTGCGGTTTCGGGTTAGGAGGTAAGGCTCTATTTGCCGGGCCCATATGACTACCCTTAGGTGTGGGGCTGGTAAGCAGGTACCCATAGCGCAGTGCAAGAGATGTTAGGGACTTTGTATACCCTAAGCCCTGCGACAATTGCAAGTCCAAAACAGTGTGGCGCTACGCGCTTGCAACTTTCAAAGGAAGGAGGGAGGGCCCAGGTTTAGGGTTTAGGATTCCAATGGTTCTTTCGCCGGCGCGTCATGAAGTGCCGGACTATCATCGCTTTTGAAGCCTCTCGGAGCGGTGCTTTTTTGGAGTCGGTCTTGGAGAGTCACTAGGAGCGCTATAGGAGTGTTCTCGAAGTGCTCTTCGGCCTCATGGTTCAGGTTTTGGGTTTAGGGTTCAAGCTTTGTTAGGGTTCGACGACGCTTCGGTTGGGTCTGTGGTTGAGGGCTAAACGGCGGAACTTCAGAAGAGGGTTCTTTCCTGAAGGAGTTTGAAGCCTCAGCTATGGTACCTACGGCATTTTCGACAGGTTCTACAAGTCAGCGGGCCCTGCCAAACCTACGTAGCACTAGGGCAGATCGGGCGCACCTCACCTGCCTACTTGGAGGTTCACGGATCATTCAGCATCAAGTTCATTGCTTATAGGAGCCTCCAACACTGTAAGGGGCTGCGGACTGTAAACCTCAGCCAAGAAAGGTACACTTATTCGTCGGTGGTCGGAGCCTGCGCAAGAGCTGCCCAGTGGCAGGCTTCTGGGTTTGGGGCGTGCAGGGAGGGGCGGGTATGTATGCCACGGCGTTGAGCGGAATCGAAGTTCGGGCCCCACCCCCCTCAATGGTCCTCAACCGAAACCCCAAACCCTGAACCCTAAGCCCTAAAACCTAAACCCACCAATGAACCACAAGGGGGGAGAAGGGCAAACGCGAAACCTTAAGCGCTTTAACCCTGACCCTAAACCCAGCACGAACCACGGGGAAGAGGGGAAACCATAAACCTACCATTACCCCACACCTTGAACCATAAACTCTAAACCCACCGTGAACCAATGGACCAAGGGGGTCAGAGTGAAAATCCTGAACTCTACAGCCTAACCCTGAACCCTGAACCCTGAATCCATGAACCACAGACCAGGAACCACGTGGGGGGAGGGGGGGGGAAACCAAAAACCCACCACGAACCACCAGGGGGGGAGGGGGGGGTGCGGCTATGCCCTTATTCCCTACTAAGAATCAGCCAGACAGTCATTGACGCGAAGAGATATCTACTTGTGACTAGGTGAAACCTCCCTGTTCCCTGTATCAATAGGTTTAATTAGGGTTTAGGTTTAGGGTTTGGGGTTTAGGGTTTAGGGTTACGGGGAGTTGCCACCCCCCCACCCCCCCGTACTGTCGTCTCCAAGACGTGAAAGACGGCTCACAGGCTGCGCTGGCCACATTTCATGCGATGATGGGCGTGGCCGTGCAGCCGAACACAGTGGCTGCGTTGCGGTTTGCGGGTGGGGGGGGGGGGGGGGGGGGGTAGAGTGACAGGTGTCTGGGGTTTAGAGTTTAGGGTTTAGGAGTCTGGGGTCAAGGGCACGGGCCATGTGGGCGTGGGAGGGATTTTGGTACAGGTCTGCAAACATCTTAGTGAGAGCTAGGAAGACGCGTAGCTTCAGAAAGGCTATGATCTAGCGCATTCTTGAAAAATGCCAGCAGCAATCAACAAAAAACAGTTATGGCAGTAAGAATCGACATGGCAGTAGAGATTGGATGCTGCATGGCTCGGCAATGGTTTGAGTAGACCCCCCTCCCTTTGCCACAAAAACGGTCTGCGAGTGCCTGTGGCAACTATTCTTTTTGGGGTTCAGGCTGTAGGGCACCGGCTATGGCTCGGGATGTCCGGTCCTGGTGGTAGAGGAGTGCCGCCGTTTTGAGCCATCACAGTGGTGGAGCATCCCATCTAAGTTGGGTCTAGGGTTTCTAGGGCTTCGGGAACCTTGCATACTCAGCCCCCAAAATGATGTCTCATAAACCAACATGGGCAATGAGGCCCTACTTCTTGCTCTGCACAAGGAGCCCATCACCCCTGTAGCAGTGCAGTTAACGAACCAAGCGTAAGTGCAGTTATCGCCCTGTTAGAAGTGTAGTTAGGCGCACCGCCACAAGTGTAGATGCAACTCAATCCTGAGGTTTCCGAAATTAGGGCTACCTATTTAGGGGTCCTTGTTCGGGATCCTGTACTATTTGGGGTCTACATTCAGGGTCCCGTATTGTTCGTAAACCCCCACATCCTAAGAGGGCTGTATTTGGGTTCTCCTTGCTAGGACATGTCGCTGAGGTGACCTGCAACTCCCTGATGGATGCCTTAGCCAGGCTGGGCGTTTCTACTATTTGCTTAAGAACCCCCTGAAAAATCTTCCTTATAAAGGTAACATAAGGCTTTAGATTGTTTGGGGGATTCTGAAGCAAATAGTAGTTTTGAAGTTTAACAAACAAGGTTTAGATGTGCAAGACAGCGAGGACGCATTCTCGTCCCTCACAAAGAAGCTTCATCAAGAGATCCCTTTCCGCGGATGGGTTGACCCAGAGCCCGAGACCTGCAAACCTTCAGCCCCCTACACACCCTAAAGCCTCAAGCAGGACAGCCCAAAGATAGAATAGAATAGAGTAGAGTAGAGGAGAATAGAAATCAATAGAATAGGGTTTAGGGCTCATAGGGTCTATAGGAAACCCTAAAGCGCTGAACCCGAAGATCCAGTCTTGGTTGGACCCCCGGCGCGTTGGCAGTTCCAGCGGCCAGTGGCAGCGGGCCTTCGAGCTACTCTCCATGCTGCCCCTGTTCGAGGCGCGCTCAGCAGCGCTCAGACCTGGGGATGTTCCCCCTGAGACCTATATCCTTTTTTTAAAATAATATAAGCTCATATAAACCCCAAGAGGATATTGTTTTTTTGATTAAGGTTCTAAGGGGAGTATAGAGACTAACAGCTCCTTAGTGGGGATTGGAGTACCCCCTATGATTTATTCCCTACTAAGGACTGTTCGTAAAAGGGGGAACATCCCAACTCATACCCAGAGAGTTTGGAATAAGTCATGGTGATCTTGATAGAAGGAAGGAAAGACTAGCCCTTAACAAATTCGCATATGTCCCCTTTTGTGGGAGGGGGGCGGGAGGAGGGGGCCATCATGCTTTTCAGGGGTCCTCTGAAATAGGCCTGCCATGAGCAGGTTCAGGCGGACGAAATCACCTGGACCTCGGCAATCAGAGCATGCCGCTGAGCTGATTGATTTCTAGGGTGGTTCGGTTTGGGGTTTAGGGTTTAGGGTTGAGAGTTGAGGGTTGAGGGTTGAGGGTTGAGGGTTGAGGGTTGAGGGTTGAGGGTTGAGGGTTGAGGGTTGAGAGGGTTTAGGGAGGCCTCCTTTCTCTGCAAGGAGCTGTGGATTTGAGTTCGTGGAGGTGGTTTTGGAAGAGGTGCAACCCTTCAGGCCCTAAGCCCTGTATAGCTGAATGAGCTATTTGCAGAATTGGTGTCGCAGACGCGGGGGTAAGGCTTAGAGGGTTTCGTTTCTAGGGTGCTGACAGCATATTGGATTGAGACAGCAAGGTAGGGCCTAGAAGGATCAAGGGGCTTTCGGGGTTAGCGCCTGAAATCCGCACTCTGTCTCTGTGTTTGCTACATCTCAGTGCATCCCGGCAGCTCTTGCACGGTGCCATCCCAATATCCTCACAACCTAAGGCGCAACAAAAGACCCTTAAAAGGAGTTCGCCGCACAAGCTCGAGGCACTCATCAAACCAGCAACAAGCTCCAACATAGCTTAGACACCCTAAATGGAGGTTTCTTAAGAATGTACCCTTTTTGGGGTTCCTGTTACAAGGATTATATAGTATTTTGGGGATATGAGGGGTGCCCCGATTTCGGAAATCCCCAAATCCCCATCTCCAAGCCCTGAGAGGTGAGACTTGCAACGAGTGGGTTTTGTCCCTGGCGGTGCTCGACCGAATGCCGCTCTTGAATCTTGACAGCAGGCGTTGCCATCCTAGGGGACGAAACGAACCCTAAAAGGGTTTCTGGTTCCTATACCTTAGTATGTGAGTTTATAGTAGTATAGGTTATATGACCCCAGTTTTAAGGGTTTAGGGTTCCTATACCTTAACAGGAACTTATAGTAGTATAGGTTGTATGACCCCAGTTTTAAGGTTCCTTTGGTCCCCCCCCCCCCCCCCCAGGATGGTGGCAGCAGAACTTGGTGATGGCCCCTGGGCCCCGTAGCTTTAACGTCGGGTTTTAGGGTTTAGGGTTTAAGGTTTAGGGTTTGGGGTTTAGGGTGCTATGGAGCCCAAGGAAGGTATGGTTTGTTTATCCAATCCCCTCGGCTTTGGCATTCAGGATTCAAGTTTTGAGGGCCAAAGGGTGGACACTGGAGCAATTTGGGTGTTTTTTGCGAAAATAGCGGACCCCTAGAACAGCCCCCCCAGATAGTATGATTCCCTTATAATCAGGACCCCAAAACGGTACCCCTTATTTTCGAAACCCCCATTTGTACGCCCGTGGAGGCCTTACAGTGCCTTGGTCTGCAGAGACATGCACCCCGACAGTACCAGACGAATCGGCTTCATCCTGAAAAGCTTGGGTGTTCGAGGTCTAGCACAATGGAGGTTGTTGGAAGATCTTGCTCTGCAATTTGATGTAGGAAGCCATTTCCGCAACAACTAAAAGCTTGAAGCATCATGCCTTACACGCGAGAACATCCAAACATCTTACTGTAGGTAGGCCTAGATCTAGGCAATTAGGTACGGTTTCCATTTGCAGGGTATCCGGTGCAAAATGCTGCACTTGGAGGGTGTGAATTAAACCCTAAACCCTAAACCCGAACATATATAAACTCTTAAACCCCTTAAACCCCTAAATCCAAGAGGCGCATAATGCCGAACATTGTCAGCTATGGTTCCGCTGTGCGAGCTTGCCAGAGCCCTCAGATGCCCAGGTTTTAGGGTCTAGGGTTTCAGGTCTTGGGGTGTTCTTTGTTTTCTTAAGTTTGTGTTGCGCGTCCGTGCGCGGATGTTGTTCTCGTTGAGGCGAGGCCTTCAACAGCCAAGGTGTTGTAAAGTTGGCTGGGATGTCACTCATCGGGAGGTCATGGAAGTCAGCACCAAGTTGATCCTTCATCCCCTCAACCCTAAACCCTAAACCCCAAACCCTAAACCCTAAACCCTAAGCCCTAAGCCCTAAACCCTAAACCCTAAACCCCAAGCCCTCTTAGCGACCTCGACTTCATGGTGTGCGCCTCATGCATTGTGACAGTACGGGCTGCAAGTGGCTGAACCAAAATGTCGGGTTCACAAGGTTTACGGGTTTGTGGCTTATGGGGCTTTTAGGGTTGGCAGGTTTACATGCACATGACTAGTTCTTTGTTTTAGGGTTCTTTTAACATTTTGAGCACCCTCCATACCAGGTCCCCGAGAACAAAAGAGAAACAAGGAATGTGTGTGTGTGTGTATATGTGTTGTTATATATATCTATAGATACACGCGCACGGACACCTAAAGCTGCCCCCAAAAGGCCCAATGAGAACCTCGCCCCCCCCAACAAGCAAAAAAGGAGCTTGATAACTGGTTGTACGTTGTACCCCTTATTGGAGCCAAGGTACATATACTACCCAAAATTCCCATTCCCTGAACCCTACGCCCAAACCCTATGTCAAGACATTGGCTGAGGCCGTTGGAGCGACGCTTGGCCACTTGCTCTGGTTCTGGTGGAAAGGCCGGTGCCCCCTCAAACCTGTAAACCCTACACGCCTTATAGTGTAGACAGAGACTCTTTCCAGCCCTGCAAACCTACAGAAATGATAAACCCCCCACACCCCAACCTAAACCAGGGCTTCAATCATTCAAAGTGTTGAGTGGGTTGACCGGGTTCGGCATATCGAGGGGATCTGACTGGTTCTTGGTAGGGAGCTTGGGGAAGTAGGTTGATGAACTCTTTGCAAGGGATATATGGTCAGTTCTCAGAAATTATGGTCCGTTTTTGGGTACCCTACACAATACGGGCCGCCTTATCGGAAGGACCCCAAAAGGGACCATGCACACTTTCGAGAAGTGACCATATAGGGGCTATACCCTGATTCGCGATTTCCCCCTTTTTGAGAACGAGTAAGGGATTCTAGGCAAGTCTCGGCTGCCAGCTTCTGAGCCGCCTAGTTCATGGTTCTCTTCTGGAGGGTTCGGGTTAGGGTTTAGGTTTAGGATTTAGGGTTTAGGGTTTAGGGTTTAGGGTGTAGGGTGTAGGGTTTAGAGGGTTTAGGGTTGGGATGTTCCCCCTTTATACTAACAGTCCTTAATAGGGATTGTAGTACGCCCTGTTATAATCCCTATTGAGCACTGTTAGTATACAGGGGAACATCCGAAACCATAAACTTTGTCATAGTGGGATAACTTTTTACCTTTTTAGGGGTACTTAAACTCAATAAGGAATGGAGACTTGAATTTTTAACACATAGCCCAACCATGAGCTAGTAAAGGGGCAACCCTGAACCTTAAGCCTTCTAGATCCTAGACCCCCGAACCCCCCGAAGCCCTAGCACCCTCAACCCTGTCATTCAACCCTAAACCCCTCAAACCCAAGCAGCAACCCCTAAACCCTAAACCCTAAACCCGAAACCCTAAACCCTAAACCCTAAACGCTTTCCCGGCTCTGCAGGATGCTGGCCCAGAGCATCGAAGCAGATTTGCTCTTCAGCAGCTCAACAGATACTTCAAGGGAAAGAGCAGGTTTAGGGTTTATGGTTTAGGGCTTAGGGCTAAGGGTTTAGGGTTTAGGGTCTAGAGTTTAGGGTTTAGGTAGAGACAGTCAGAGTGAGTATGCTCAGGGCTCGGAAAAATTTAAAACGCCGTTGATGGACTACACGCGCTTGTTCGTCAAGCCTTGCAAGCGCACCATCAGTGGAGAGACACAATGGTTCTTATTTGTATCGAATTAGGGAGTAAAGAGTTGCATCGGCTTTTTCAAGATAGCAAATCAAGAACCAATACGCCACCGGGCAGAGTGTCGAAAACACGCTTAGCGGAGCCTATTGGAACATAATGTCTACATAGCAGATCACTTTCAATCAAACGTGTTGTGCCCTACCTGGCTCCTGACGACAATTCTCAGCACGCTCGGGCAGCAGCGTCTTCCTGGCATTGGCGTGCCAACTCGGGTTGGGGGGAGTCCACAGAACTCTACCCAAAGGGCTCCCATGTAGTACCTTTTGGGGGCAGCATACTAAAATCCCCTCTTCCTAACCCAAAAAGGAACTACATTGGGAGCCTTTGGGTAAAGCGCAGTTGAAAAAGAATCGGTGGCTTGCATCGAACCCTTCTAAAGCCCTGCAGAGCAGTGCCTCCCACGGCAGGCTACCGACACAAGCAGGAAACCGCCTTGGGGACGAAATGAACCTTAAAATTGGGGTCATATACCCTACACTACTATAATCCCTATTGAGGTATATGAGCCATAAACCCTTTTAGGGCTCATTTCGTCCCCAAGGCGGCAGACCCTGAAGATCTGAACCTGCAGCTCTGCCTGAAGAATCCCCGAAACTATAGGGCTTAGGGTTTTTAGGGTTTCGGGTTTAGGGCTGAGGGTTCAGGGTCTGGGTACCCCTAAGTTGGGAAACCCCCCCCCCCCCCCCCCCACATGTTGCAAGTTCTTTCAGACACCTGAGGTAACACGCTTCTCAGCCTCCTGGCCAAGGCTGAGCAGTGGCTCTTGGCGACAGATCTTCTGGCCGCTTGTTGGCATACCGGTTTTTGGGCGGCTTTTTTTGGGTAGTTTCCGGCCCTAAGCCCTCAGCCTTATAAGCCCCAAACCCTATTGTGGGAAAGTCGTGGGTGGGCTGCTCAACTCGAGGATTTTTGAGACGCACAGGGTGTCGGGTGCCTGCTGACAAGGCTCCTGGCTGTAGACGTGCCTGGTCTATATGCCCAAAGGCTCCTATGTAGTACCTTTTTGGGATAGTACACGAAAATCCCCTATAACGAAACCAAAAAGGAACTACCTTAGAACCTTCAGGGAGAGGCTTTAAAGGATTCAGGGCATCCCGTGCCAGCTGAATATCTACCTCGCTCGGGGCACCTGACAACCCTTGTTCTGAGCATGCAGCAGAAGAAGGAAAAGAAACAAGCCGCTGACCCTTAACAACCCTAAACCTCCAAACCCTAAACCAAACCCAAACCCTAAACCCCAAGATCCCGAAAGCCCAGAGACTCTACCTAAAGGCTCCTATGTAGATCTTCTTTTTGTTGCGGTAGTATACTATTATACCCACCTCCCCTGTAACGAACACAAAAAGGAACTACATTAGAGCCTTCAGGGAACCCTGAACCCTAGAAGTGCTCCAGGCGTCCATGGTTTCGGAGAAGATGGCCGCTGGGAATCGTGAGAGGCTTTCGGTCATTCCATTGCGGTTTGAGCGGGGAGGGGGTTGTCAACCCCTTAGTGTTTGCCCAAAGGCTCCTATGTAGTACCTTTTTTTGGTAGATACTAAAATCCCCTTTAACTAGCCCAAGAAGGAACTACATTAGAGCCTTTCCGGTTCCGTGCTTTGGGCAGCTGTTCCCGCCACCCTTAACCTTAAACCCTAAACCCTAAACCCTAAGGCCTAAAACCTAAACCCTAAACCCTAAACAAACCCTAAAACCTTCTCAGCATCTTGTGGCATCCCAGCACCTCATCCTCCCCACCCTCACTGCGCGAGGAACCTGATGAAACGACATGGGCCACGGTCGCAGACGTGGGCAAGGCGGAACACCCAGGGTTTAGGGTTTAGGGTTTAGGGTTGAGGGTTTAGGGTTTAGGGTTGAGGGTTTAGGGTTAAGGCGGTGACATTCGAACTGAGTAGCTGAGTAGGTGACCCTTAACCTTTTGAGTTATGTACAATCTTGCTACATTTGAAAGCTTAACTTTTTTTGGCCCTGGGTACTCAGCAACTGAGAGAAGGCATGCACTTCGGGCACTGTATGGGATTCATGTCAGGCCACACAAACCGGGCCCTGGGATTTTGGGTCAGCTATTCGGGGGGTTGCAGCTTCGGGGTTGAGGATGCAGAACCGGAGACACCTTTCCACTCTTAGCAAAGGGAACCTGCCACAATTGTTAGTATGTTTCCTTCTGCGAGGGCATAAGCCCACCCCCTCAACCCTAAACCCTAAACCCCCCTAAACGCCAAACCCCAACCCTAAACTCTCCCCCACTTCGGCAGGAGTCCTCTCAGTGGAGGTTGGCACTGGTCGCTCTATCAGGATGCTAGGGTGTATAAAAAGGGCTACCTTAAGAACCCCAAACGTACTTTTTTGTAGCTTACCTAAGAATCCGATAAGGGGTTTTATGAGCTGAACCTGCAGAAAATAAGTAGGCTGAGGGTTCTTAAGGTAGGCATTGTAAGGTGTCGAGCTGATTCAGAGCGACGTGTTTTGCTCAAAAGCAGGGGAAAATATGTCATATTGGCTTATATTTCCCCCTTTGTGTTTTTTGGGTGTGCATTTACATGTTTAGAGATGTACCTGAAGGCTCTACTGT